AGCACACGTAGGTCTGAAGTAGAAAAAGATGAGGAGCAAGGCAAGGGCACTGGTGATTCTAGTAATTGTACACCTAAATTTGCTTCAGTTTCCGACTTAAGGCCACTAATGCGTGAGCTGGCTTTGCCAGTGTTTGACATGCTTAAACATGGAAATTTCAAAAAATCTACGAATGATGACGAATCTACTAAAATGTCTGATGATGCAGATGAAAGTCAATTGCGACCTGCAGAGATAGTTTACCTTCTTGAAGATCTTAAGCACAAGCTTGATTTTAAACTTTCGCCACCGGCGTCGAATGTTCCTTTTTTTGCAAAGAAAACGAAAAAAACGGAACCTGGAAACAATTCTGATGAGTTTGCCTTGATTGCTCGTTATGCTTCTTTAGACGTTGTTAAGCAAGTTTCTCTTAAATTTGTCCCACATTTATTGCGACACTTGGACTCAATATGTGAAGAATTAAACTCTACAGATGATTATATAATCGAAGATGATGTAGAAGAAGCATTACAGCGTTGCCTACAATTAATACTTGAGATTATTCATAGATTACTTTGTTGGACCGAATTGAAAAGCGTAGATAATAAAGAGACGTTGGTTACTGTGTTAAAACATTTATGTCCAAAGGCATTATCTTCAGCTCCTAGACTTACATTAGTACATTCTGAGCTTCTTCAACAATCTGCCAATGAAGCATTTCAATACTTACATGGTTTTGTATCAAGGCTTCCAACTGCAAATTTAGCCATATTGTTGCACAAGATTCTTAAAATAATAGCTGAATTCGCTCCGAATTCGAGTGAACTTTTTGCAAAATCCGGAGAGGTAGCTCGAAATTTTACATCACGTACATGGGATGATATTAATAAATTGGATTCTGAATCCATTATATATTTATTGCGAAATGATATTAGGCATTCGTCAAACCCAATAGATAGAATAAAATTTTATGCAAGTGATGTTCTTCCTTCTTTAGATTCACGGGATGATAACATTACAGAGTCATATCCATTACTTAATAGAAATACGTTCCCACATTTTTACAAAGCATTGTTTATAGAGCTTGTTGAAGTACTTCAAAAATTCAGGTCAGAGAATTTTAACACTGTAGACGAAACTTTGGCACATATTTCCAATACGGTTGAATGTTTGCAGAAGTTGGTTTCATTTATAAGGATCAATCATAAGCGTACTGTTTTATCAGTAACATTAAAATATGGCCGTAGCTTTATTGATACTTTTATTAAGCAAATGTTACCATTGATGGATAAACATTTCAATTCATATCGTGATGAGGTCCTAAACATATTTAAGACATTCCAAATGTCCACACGGAATCTCCAAGTATGTTCCTAGAATTCTCAAATTTTTTTGCAATTGATTTATCATTCACCTTACTCTTTCTAAATGAACATATCTAGGCACTTTGTAATCATGTAAAGGTTAACAAAGAATCTCAGTTGTCAGCGATGGTACCACTTGTAAAAAAGTCATTAGAAATTGTAATTTTCCAAGTTAAAGCTTTAATTCAGCATAACGGGCTGCCACTATCAACATTCTTTTTAGGAGAACTTAAACATCGTGACATTGATGGACGTGAAGTCGATTCTGATGATCAAAGGGATGATAGATCACAAAGAGATGATATAAATTCCGTATTAGATGAAGATGAAGATGATGATGGTGATGATAAAGATGTGGAGAATATGGAAGAAGACGAAGAGGATAATGATGTTGAGGATGGTGATGGTGACAACGAAAGTTCTGTCAATATTTCAGGTATGTTGAAATTACGTGTAAAATTGGTTGTAAAGCAAATTTCCATAGCTTACTTTATCGTTGTTATTTTTCGAATCAAGATGTAGAAGAAACCTATTCTTCTAAACGCAAGCGATCTACTCTTGATGAGGGGCCCTCTTATGCCAAACAAAAACGATCCCTAGGATCGCCCTCCGGGGACTAAGTGTAACGACAAATAAGAATTATAATTCTGTGCCAAATTGGGGTTTTTTTTTACTAAGATTTCGCGCACTTCTCATCGACTAATAAAAATTTATAGAAAAAATTAAGTTTTATTGAGTTATTGATTTAAAGAAAAATCGTAATTATTTCATATGAAAAATTATAACAAATTTCTTAATGAATTCGAAAACAGCAAAAAATCAAAAAAAAAAATCTACTATAAAATACTAAAAAATGTCCAATTTGTCAAAATTGCACCAACTTTTAAAAATAATTTAAAAAAAAAACACTAAGAAATATTAAGATTTACTAAAAAACGTTTTTAAAATTAATTTGTTAATAATGCTTGATGCATTATTTTGAAACAGAGAACTGAGAATTAATTTTATTTTTTAAAATTTTAGAATAGGCTAATTCTTAGCTCTCTTTAAAAATAAAGTCTGGGACGCTATTTCATTACGATATGGCAACTATCGGCGAAATTAGTATTGAAGTTTGGTTTTCGATCCAAGTGAAATTAATGTCATCTAAAATTTTTAGAGATTAATTATCGAAAGCTTGACTTCCGTATAATTGTCAGAAATTGAAAGAAATCGCTCGATCCATTTTTATTAGGAACGACTTGAACAAAATTACACTAAAATACAAATACAAGTCATTCTCGTTATAGTGAAGTCCTTGGGCTGTGAAAATTTCTTCACTATATCGAGAGATTCACTATATTGAGAGCCTCTCGGCATAACGAAGTCGATAATAAATTGTATAAATCTTTACAACTATTCCATTTACTGGTTAACACATGTCACATGATCAAATCTTCACTATAACGCGACATTTTGTTAGGGAAGATATACCGACACAGCACACACGTGACTAATTCCACATACCCTAACGCTAAACCTAACTATAATGCTGGCC